ACAAAAGGTAAAATAACCATGAAAAAGAGTAACAAAAGCTGAAAAAGTCCCTAAGAACTAAGAAAAGCTAAAATAGACACGAAAAAACAAACAAAAGCTAAAATAAATATAAAAAGGCTAACAAAAGCTAAATTGTACACGAAAAACACTATTAAAAAGCTATTTGATTGACACAAGACAAACAAAAGCTAACATTTATAAGAAATAGGAATAACAAAAGCTATATTAGACACAAAAAGCTAAAATACACACAAAAAGACTAAGAAAAGCTAAATTAGTGTCGAAAACAAACAAAAGCTAAGTTAGACACGAAAACGTCTAACAAAAGTTAAAATAGACAAGAAAAATAATCATGAAAAAGACTAACAAAGGGCAAAAAAGACATGCGAAAAACAAACAAATCCTTAACTGGAAACGAAAAACAAAACAAAAACTAAAACAAACACGAAAAAGGAAACAAAAGCTAAAATAGATATAGAAAAGACTAACAAAAGCCTAAATAAACACGAAACATTCTATCAAAATCTAAAATAGACACGAAAAAGACTACAAAGTGGTAAAATAGAATCGGAAATGGCTAACAAAAGCTCCAATAGACAGGGAAAAAGACTAGCAAAAGCTAAAATAGACACAGAAAAGCCTTCCATAAGCTAAAATAGACATGAGAGAACAAACAAAATCAAAATATACATGAAAAAGGCTAACAAAAAATAAAATAAACACGAAACAAACTATTAAACGCTAAAATAGACACGAAAAAACACTTAAAAGCTAAAATAGACTCGAAAATAAACAAAAGCTAAAATAGACTCGAAAATAAACAAAAGCTAAAATAGACTCGAAAATAAACAAAAGCTAAAATAAACATAAAAAAGACTAACGAAAGCTAAATTATACATGAAAAATACTAACATAATCAAAATTATACACGAAAAAAACTAACAAAAGCTAAATTATACACAACAAAGAATAACAAAGGCTAAAATAGACATGGAAAAAACAAAATCTAAAACAGATATGAAAAACGACTAACAAAAGCTTAACCTGACACGAAAAACAAAGAAAAGCTAAAATAGACACGAAAAACAAAGAAAAGCTAAAATAGACGCGAAAAACAAAGAAAAGCTAAAATTAACATGAAAATGACTAATAAAAGCTGATAAATTCACGAAAAAGACTAAGAAAAGCTAAAATAGACACTATAAAGACTACTAAAGTTAAAATAGACAAGAAAAAGATAACCAAAGCTAAAATAGGCACGAAAAAACAAACCAAAGCTAAAATAAACATTAAAATGGCAAACAGAATGTTAAGTATACACGAAACAGACTAAAAAAAAAAAAAATAGACACAAACAACAAAGAAAAGCTAAAATTGATAAGAAATAAGACTAACAAAAGCTAAATTAGACACAAAAAAGAAATAACAAACGCTAAAATAGACAAGTAAAAGGAAAAAATCCAAAATAAACATGAAAAAGATTAACAAAATCTAAAATAGACACGAAAAAAAAACTAAAATAAGCATGAAACAGACTAACATAATCTAAATTAAACATGAAAAATACTAACAAAAACAATATTATACACGAAAAAGACTAACACCATCTAAAATTGAAACGAAAAAGACTAATAAGAGATAAAACAGACATGAAAATTATTAACACAAGCTAAATTAGACAAGACAAAGACTAAGAAAAGCTAAAATGGACACAAAAGACTAACAAAAAGCTAAAATTGACACGAAAAATACAAACAAAAGCTACAATACACATGAAAAATATTAATAAAAGCTAAATTAGACAAGAAAAAGTCCAAAACAAGCTAAATTAGTCACAGAAAACTAACAAAAGGTAAACTAGAAATGAAAATGGCTAACAAAAGCTCAAATAGACGCGAAAACAAACAAAATCTTAAATAGACACAAAAAAGAGTAACAAAAGTTAAAATTAACACGAAAAGACTAACAAAATCTATAATACACAGGAAAATTTCTAATAAAAGTTCATATAGAAACGAAAAAGACTAACAAATGCTAAAATAGACACGAGAAAGACTAAGAAAAGCTAAATTAGACACGAAAATGACTACCAAAGTTAAAATAGACACAAAAAATACTAACAAAAGATAAAATAGTCAGGAAAAATACTAACAAAAGCTAAAATAGACATGAAAAACCAATCAAACCTAAAATAAACATAAAAAGGGCTAACAATATCTAAATTATACACGAAACAGGCTAACTAAAAACTAAAATTCACACAAAAAATAAACAAAAGCTAAAATTGATAATAAATAAGACTAACAAAAGCAAAACTAGACACGAAAAGGAATAACAAAAGCTAAAATAGACAGGGAAAAAGAAACAAAATCCAAAATTATATGAAAAAGCCTAACAAAAGCTAAAATAGTCATGGAAAAACAAACAAACGCTAAAACCGATACTAAAAGATACTAACAAAAGCTTAGCAAAACACGAAAACAAACAAAAGCTAAAATAAACAATAAAAAGACTAACAAAAGATAAAATAGACAGGAATAGACTAACAAAAGCTAAAATAGACACGAGAAACAAACAAAAGCTAAAACAGATACTAAAAAAGACTAACAAAAAAAATACAAACGAAAATGACTAACAAAACCTGAAAAAGTAACGAAAAAGACTAACAAAAGCTAAAATTAGACACAAAAGTCTAACTAAAAGCTAAAATTGACACGAAAAAACAAATAAAAGCTACAATACATATTAAAAATACTAACAAAAGCTAAATTACACAAGAAAAAGTCCAAAACAAGCTAAATTGGGCACGAAAAAACTAACAAAAGGTAAACCTAGAAACGAAAATGGCTAACAAAAGCCCAAATAGATTCGAAAAGACTAACAAAAGGTAAAATAGACACGCGGGAACAAACAAAATAATAATAAACATGAAAATGACTAACAAAAGTTAAAATAGACGGAAAAAAGACTAACAAAAGCTAAAATATATCTGAAAAGTAAACAAAAGCTAAAAGAAATATAAAATACTCACAAAAGCTAAAAAAACACTAAAAATACAAACAAAAAGCTTAAATAGAAACGAAAAAACAAACAAAAGTCAAAATAGACTCGAAAAAGACTAACAAAAGTTAAAATAAACACCAGAAAGACTAACAAAAGCTAAAATATACACGAAAAAACAAATAAAATCTAAAATAGACACGAAAAACAAAATTTAAATTAGACAAGAGAAAGACTAACAAAAGCTAAAATAGACACGAAAAACAAACAAAGCTATAACAGACACACAAAAATAACTAACAAAAACTAAAATATAAACACGAAAAAGATTAATAAAGCTAAAATAGCCAAGAAAAACAAACAAAATCCAATAAAATGAAAAAGATTAACGAAAGGTAAAATAGACACGAAAAACAAACTAAAGCTAAAATAAACATGAAAAAGATTAATAAAATCTGAAAAATAAACGAAAAAGACTAACAAAGGCTAAAAATAGACATACAAAAACAAACAAAAGCTAAAATAGTCCCATAAAAGCTAAAAAAAGACACACTAAAGCTAAAATAGACACAAAAAAGAAATGAAAGCTATAACAGACATGAAAAAAGACTAACAAAAACAAAATAGACAGAAAAACTAACAAAAGCTAAATTAGACAGAAAAACTAACAAAAGCTAAATTAGACACAAAAAAGACTAACATAAGCTAAATAGACATGAAAAACTAGTAAAAGCTAAAATGCAAACAAAGCTGAAATAAACATGAAAAGGAGTAACGACAGGTAAAATAGACATGAAAAAACAGAAACAATATAAAATAGACACAGAAACAAACAAAAGCTAAAATGACAAGAAAGACTAACAAAAGATAAAAAGAGACATGAAAAAATAAACAAAAGATAAAATAGACATGAAAGAATCTAACAAAAGCTGTAATAGATACGCAAAATACTTACAAAAATCTAAAATACACACGGAATATATTAACAAAGATAAAAAAATTCACGTAAAAACAAACAAAAGCTAAAAAAAACACGAAAAAGACTAACAAAAGCTAAATTACTCCCAAAAATGACTAATAAAAGTTAAAATAGACACGAAAAATCAAATGAGAGCTAAAATAGACACTAAAATAAAACAAAATCTAAATTAGACAAGAGAAAGACTAACAAAAGCTAAAATAGACACGATTAGGAAATAAAGCTAAAATAGAAAAAAAACTAACAAAAACCTAAAAAAAAAAAATTAAAATACAAAGAAAAACTATAATAGACACGAAAAGACTAACAAAAGGTAAAAGAGACACGAAAAAACAAACAAAAGTTAAAGTAAACATGAAAAAGACTAACAAAAAACTTAAAAATACACGAAAAAGACTAACAACGGCTAAAATAGACATACAAAAACAAACAAAAGCTAAAATAGACACAAAAGCTAAAATAGACACAGAAACGCTAAAATACACACAAAAGCTAAAATAGACGCGAAGAAAAGAAACAAAAGCTAAATCAGACATGAAAAAAAGACTAACAAAAACTAAAATAGACACGAAAAAGACTAACAAAAGCTTAACTTGACAACATTATTATCTACAAAAGCAAAAAAAGCTAAAACAGACAAGGGAAAGCTAAAACGTAAATTCAAACAAGAGAGAGACAATACCAACAGACACAAATTGGAACAATAAGAGAAAGTTACAACTCAAATTGGTCGCCATCTCTCTACCTCAATTCAATGCTTCTTCTTTAAGAAGGTCTCATTGACCAAAAAAATTCTAAAATAGAAATCTAAAATATTTTTTCGTTTAATAGGAGATTAGTGTTGTGTATATTTATCTTTTACATAAGTTATTAGTAGTTATGAGGCTAGGCAGCAGTAGATAAAGTAATTATAGCTAGAATTATTATATTTCTTACGTTTCTAATTTATAGTTAATATCATTTATATTGCTAATAATATTATTATTAATAATATTGGGTTAAATACAGTAAAAGAACTTACCGTCTCCGTCAAAAGGCCATTTGGACAATCTTTGAGGAACCCCTTGTGCCTGTCAAAGAAAACGAGACATTTAACATACTTTTCCTCACAAAGAAAATGGGAGTTTGTTTACCACTGTTGGTATATTGATTTACTAAATCAATAAAGTCAACTAAATTAACTTTATTTACTCATTTACATAGATGAGTACAGACGGCTGAGTGGACAGCGCTCGGGATTCGTAGTCCCGAGGTTCCGGGTTCGATCCGAGTGTCTTTCACCCTGATGGCCCTGTTCACCTAGCATTAAATAGGTACCTGGGAGTTAGACAGTTGCTACGGGCTGCTCCCTGCGTGTGTGTGTGTAACAAAATGGACTGATCGAGGACCGGGCCGAAGGGACGCTGAGCCCCGAAATCATCTCAAGATAACCCTCTAACAGGATAACTGCTACAGTTAAGGATTGGCGCCCAGTCAATCCTCCCCGGCCAGGATACGAACCCAGGGCAAGAAACTCAGTATAGAATCCATGATGACGATTCGAACCTGGACACTTGGTATTCCCAGGTCGTGCACTAACCCACTCAGCCACGACATGATCAGTTGAATTCTCTTTGAATTCTCATTGGTCATCAGTGGAAGCCTCGGGAACCATAGAGGGTTCAGTAGAATCCCGGGTATGTACTGCTCTTTAGCACGTCTTGGCTGAGTGGTTTAGGCCGTGTGCTGATGAGTACTGAGTGTACACGGGTGGACTCCTCAGCATGGCCTCTATTGATCTACACTGTGTCATGTGTGTGTGTGTGTGTGTGTGTACTCACCTAGTTGTACTCACCTAGTTGTGTTTGCGGGGGTTGAGCTCTGGCTCTTTGGTCCCGCCTCTCAACCGTCAATCAACAGGTGTACAGATTCCTGAGCCTATCGGGCTCTGTCATATCTACACTTGAAACTGTGTATGGAGTGAGCCTCCACCACATCACCCCCTAATGCATTCCATTTGTCAACCACTCTGACACTAAAAAAGTTCTTTCTAATGTCTCTGTGGCTCATTTGGGCACTCAGTTTCCACCTGTGTCCCCTTGTGCGTGTTCCCCTTGTGTTAAATAGACTGTCTTTATCTACCCTATCAATCCCCTTCAGAATCTTGAATGTGGTGATCATGTCCCCCCTAACTCTTCTGTCTTCCAGCGAAGTGAGGTTTAATTCCCGTAGTCTCTCCTCGTAGCTCATACCTCTCAGCTCGGGTACTAGTCTGGTGGCAAACCTTTGAACCTTTTCCAGTTTAGTCTTATCCTTGACTAGATATGGACTCCATGCTGGGGCTGCATACTCCAGGATTGGCCTGACATATGTGGTATACAAAGTTCTGAATGATTCTTTACACAAGTTTCTGAATGCCGTTCGTATGTTGGCCAGCCTGGCATATGCCGCTGATGTTATCCGCTTGATATGTGCTGCAGGAGACAGGTCTGGCGTGATATCAACCCCCAAGTCTTTTTCCTTCTCTGACTCCTGAAGAATTTCCTCTCCCAGATGATACCTTGTATCTGGCCTCCTGCTCCCTACACCTATCTTCATTACATTACATTTGGTTGGGTTAAACTCTAACTGTGTGTGTGTGTGTGTGTGTGGTGTGTGTGTGTGTGTGTGTGTGTGTGTGTGTTAGAGACAAATAGATGTAATAGATATGATAGAGGAGAAGAGGTCGGGACTGCGTACATTACAAAAGCGACGATTAGAGTGGCGGGGTCCAAGAGCTAAGTATCTCGATCCTGCAGGTACGAACACACAAATGTAAGCCAAATCTGTTTCAAGTGTAGATATGATAGAGCCCAATAGGCTCAGGCACCTGTACACCAGTTGATTGACAGTTGAGAGGCGGGACCAAAGAGCCAGAGCTCAACCCCCGCAAGCACAACTAGGTGAGTACATACACACAGAGAGAGAGAGAGAGAGAGAGAGAGAGAGAGAGAGAGAGAGAGAGAGAGAGAGAGAGAGAGAGAGAGAGAGAGAGAGAGAGAGAGAGAGAGAGGGAGAGAGAGAGAGAGAGAGAGAGAGAGAGAGAGAGAGAGAGAGAGAGAGAGAGAGAGAGAGAGAGAGAGAGAGAGAGAGAGAGAGAGAGAGAGAGAGAGAGGAGAGAGACATAGAGAGAGAGAGAGAGAGAGAGAGAGAGAGAGAGAGAGAGAGAGAGAGAGAGAGAGAGAGAAGAGAGAGAGAGAGAGAGAGAGAGAGAGAGAGAGAGGAGAGAGAGAGAGAGAGAGAGAGAGAGAGAGAGAGAGAGAGAGAGAGAGAGAGAGAGAGAGAGAGAGAGAGAGAGAGAGAGAGAGAGAGAGAGAGAGAGAGAGAGAGAGAGAGAGAGAGAGAGAGAGAGAGAGAGAGAGAGTAGAGAGAGAGAGAGAGAGATAGAGAGAGAGAGAGAGAGAGAGAGAGAGAGAGAGAGAGAGAGAGAGAGAGAGAGAGAGAGAGACTGTCTGTCTGTCTGTCTGTCAGACAGACAGACAGACAGACAGACAGACAGACAGACAGACAGACAGACAGACAGACAGACAGACAGACAGACAGACAGACAAAACAGAACCTCCGTCCCCAATCACCTCCGTAACGGCCCATGTCCGGATGCATAAATAGCTCTGTATTATATCCATATAACTCATTTGAATTTGAATTTGAATGGCAGCAACAATGGCGGTTAACGGCCACAGTTGGAAAGGGCTGCCAATCATTGCCATAATGTTTAAACCTTCCTATTGTGACTTTCAAACGCTTATACTGATGTTCAGTTGTTTTAAAGAGGCGCTCATGAGTGTGTATTTACTATTGGTATGTACCATTTGTGTCTCCAGAATCCAGCTATTAGCTCTTGGGCCCCGCCTTTCTAGCAATTGGTTGTGTAATACAATGACTCGTGGCCTATTTCCCTATCATACCTGTTGTTAAAGTTATGGAGTTATCCTCTACAACCTGCTCCTTTAGGTCATTCCATTCACTAACATTATCCTTAATGTTCTATTGTTATTCATTGTAAACGTTTCCTCTGTTTCCACCCTGTCAATCCATCTAAGTATTTTATACGTCTGTGTCATGTCCCCTCTCTACTTTCTAACATCGTCAGGTTTAGTTCCATCAGTCTGTCTTTGTACCTCATCCCTCGCAGCTCTGGGACGAGTCTCGTTGCAAACTTCTGCACCTTTTCCAGCTTCCTTGTGTGTTAAGATGGGGCTCCAGGATGGGTCGGCATACCCTAAGACTGGCCTCACACAAGCGGTATACAGTGATTTAACAGCCTCCATATTCAAGTTTCTGAAGGATGTTCTGACTTTTGTCAGAGTAGAGTACGCTGCTGATGTTATTCTGTTTATATGTGCCTCAGGAGATAGATTAGGTGTTACGTCCACTCCCAGGTCTCTTTGTTTATGGTCGTTATAGGGAGGTTGTTTACCTTCGTCGTGTATTGGCCTTTTAGTCTCCTGTCCTCATTTCCATCACCTTGCACTTGTTAGTGTTGAACTCTAGCAGCCACATCTCGGACCATCTCTGGAACGTGTTCAGGTCATGCTGGTAATCTAACACTGCTCAACTGTCTCAACCTTCGTCATTAGTGTAGCATCAGCTACTAACATTAACATATGAGAGTCCACTCCTGGAGAGGTTATTAACCTAACTGAGTAACAGTGTGGGAGTCAGGAGTGACCCTTGAGGCACTCCGCTTGTTACTCTACACCGGTCACACTCCTCGCTCCCTCACTCTCACTCTGGGAGTCAGGAGTGACCCTTGAGGCACTCCGCTTGTTACTCTACACCGGTCACACTCCTCGCTCCCTCACTCTCACTCTGGGAGTCAGGAGTGACCCTTGAGGCACTCCGCTTGTTACTCTACATCGGTCACACTCCTCGCTCCCTCACTCTCACTCTGGGAGTCAGGAGTGACCCTTGAGGCACTCCGCTTGTTACTCTACACCGGTCACACTCCTCGCTCCCTCACTCTCACTCTGGGAGTCAGGAGTGACCCTTGAGGCACTCTGCTTGTTACTCTACACCGGTCACACTCCTCGCTCCCTCACTCTCACTCTGGGAGTCAGGAGTGACCCTTGAGGCACTCCGCTTGTTACTCTACACCGGTCACACTCCTCGCTCCCTCACTCTCACTCTGGGAGTCAGGAGTGACCCTTGAGGCACTCCGCTTGTTACTCTACACCGGTCACACTCCTCGCTCCCTCACTCTCACTCTGGGAGTCAGGAGTGACCCTTGAGGCACTCCGCTTGTTACTCTACACCGGTCACACTCCTCGCTCCCTCACTCTCACTCTAGGAGTCAGGAGTGACCCTTGAGGCACTCTGCTTGTTACTCTACACCGGTCACACTCCTCGCTCCCTCACTCTCACTCTGGGAGTCAGGAGTGACCCTTGAGGCACTCCGCTTGTTACTCTACACCAGTCACACTCCTCGCTCCCTCACTCTCACTCTGGGAGTCAGGAGTGACCCTTGAGGCACTCCGCTTGTTACTCTACATCGGTCACACTCCTCGCTCCCTCACTCTCACTCTGGGAGTCAGGAGTGACCCTTGAGGCACTCTGCTTGTTACTCTACACCGGTCACACTCCTCGCTCCCTCACTCTCACTCTGGGAGTCAGGAGTGACCCTTGAGGCACTCCGCTTGTTACTCTACACCGGTCACACTCCTCGCTCCCTCACTCTCACTCTGGGAGTCAGGAGTGACCCTTGAGGCACTCTGCTTGTTACTCTACACCGGTCACACTCCTCGCTCCCTCACTCTCACTCTCTGACACCTGTCTGTCAGGTAGTTCCTCACCCATGACAGTGGCTCTCTGTCTACTATCGTCTGTCAGGTAGTTCCTCACCCATGACAGTGGGTCTCTGTCTACTATCGTCTGTCAGGTAGTTCCTCACCCATGAGAGTGGGTCTCTGTCTACTATCGTCTGTCAGGTAGTTCCTCACCCATGAGAGTGGGTCTCTGTCTACTATCGTCTGTCAGGTAGTTCCTCACCCATGAGAGTGGGTCTCTGTCTACTATCGTCTGTCAGGTAGTTCCTCACCCATGAGAGTGGGTC